AAAAAAAAAAAAAAAAAAGAAAAAAAAAAGAAAATGCAATGTGTAAGAAATAGCTGTCATCTAGTTTATTAGCAATGATTTAGCATCTAATCTGGATTAAAGGATCAACAGGGACTTTCATATCACTAAATGTCATCACACAGTTCCTGGCTTACCATATAGCCTCTAGTCCCCTAAAAAATCAAACAGCAATTAAATGTCAAGCAAAGGGTGGATAAAGACAAATTTATCCTCAAGGGAAGTAAATGTTGCTTATACCCTCTATACCTCATTTTGGAATATAAGAGAATCATGGTATAGTTATTTTTTTATATCTCTATTGAGATTTTCCTTAAAAGAAGGATCCCCTGTGCCCTGGCCCCAAGCTCTTAACCAAGAAAAGCACACACGTTTCAGCATTTTTTTTTTCTGTTCTCAGGTACCTGTCCTCAATACTAAATAACCAAACATCTCCAGACCAACTTTTTTCTTTTGACTTCACAAGTCTACACATGGAGTGCAGCTTCCTTCCTGTTTACCTCTCTTGTAGCTTTTGCTGCCATATCACAAGCATCAATAGCCACCCTCACCTGATGCTTGGCCATCTCCATTCCCTCCAAAATCTTAAAGTCCTCCTCGTCCTGTGGAAGGAAAGAGAACTCATAGCCTTTGTTCCAGTTAAAAAATGTGTTTGGCCATGAAGGCCTTGTTTAAAGCATCTGGATGGGAAGACACTTTCCAGTGCAAAGAGCTGTCTTATCTGTGGGTCCATTTCTGGGCAAAGGGTGATTTCTCATTACTAATGATATGTGGATGGCCAAGGGCATGGGCCTAGAGTCCCATAAATGTTCACTGCATTCAGATTCATGATTTCCCCCAACATTCTGTGATAGAAAAGTGAAAGTTCTGTTCTTAAATCCTGGTTCAGACTTTGGTCCACAACTTTGTCCTTTTATTTTATTTATCCTAAAGAAGCAAGTTCCTCATATCCTGCAAGTAAAGCTTCTAATCACTTTCTTCCCTTTTGCTGTGTAGATAATCAAATACAATTTCATTGCTGGAAGACAAAATAGGTGAGCACATGCAGACTGGTCTCACAGTCCACCCGATCAACCTCCAGACTATATGTACTGGAAGATTCTGAAGCAAAACGATGACAGATATGATTAACAAAGTCCCAATGATGAACAAGCTATTTCATTACCTTTCTGCTTCAGGGCAGAGACTGGCAGGTTAGCCTGATGCTTAGTTAGAAAGGACGCAGGCCATGCTCTAAACCATAGCATTTATCTTCCTACACCTTGTTAATGGGACAGGTTTCTGGTAATTCTCATTTTCTCCTTGATTTCCACCACATATATGGTTTTAAAAATGTTTTTGAACATTTGTATATTTTTGAGTCCCTTCATTACCTTTCTGATAGTCACACTTTAGTAGACTTAATTCCCAGCAGTGGTTTTAAACCTGCAGGGAGTGGGGTGGATATACAAAATCGAGACCTGGCATAACAAGAGCCATAGAAAGGAAATAATATTAAAGGT